ACGCTACTTTGGCAAGCTGATAGGGAACATCATCTGGGAGGAGGCGCGCAGCAGTGGCTTCGTGGAAGTATTCCAACAAGTTCAGGGTATCCCAACAACAGAGCAAATCTCCCAGCTAGAGACTGCTAGCGCGGAAGCAACACGGAGCTCACGGGAGAAAATATCGTCCGCTCTCAACGTGCCAATCCCAGCGAAAAGCGGAGGCAACCAAATCCATACGGCCCTGCTCGGCGCCATGATCCGCGCTTTGGGGTGTCCGGACAGGGAATTCGAGAAAACGGCGTCTGACGGAGTCCCAATAGGCCTCAGCAAAGATATTCCTTTCTGTCCGCTCTATCCACGTTACGAACCACGCGAATACGACCTCTATCCCATCTTAAAGGAGCATCGCAACTATGGGTCGATGGATCTCCCCGAAGTCTTGGACCCGGTAGAGGCGCTCATAGAAGACGAAATCCAGCGAGGGTTTATACGGGAGTTAAGCCCAGAGAAGGCCACCGAAGATGGGAGAGACTTCGTTCGACGAGCGGCCATTCCGAAAGGAGAGACTTTCGCAGATGGCGTGAGAATAATCGAAAACTATCGACGCAACAATGTCAACAAGAAGGCCAATATCCCCAACAGCACTCATTTGCCAAACATCAGGAGTTTACGAAGAAAGCTGGGAGCCGTCTCAGATAAGTGGCCTTCTGAAGAATTCAAAGTTCTGAAGGTTGATCTGAAAGTTCTGAAGGGGCGCGTATAGAGCAGTCGGAGTACACCCAGTCGAGCGGAAGCATCTAAGCTTCGTACACGCCGACAAAACTGGTAGCACCCGATTCTTTGAGAATATCACCTTACCCTTTGGACTTGCCTGTTCGGCCTATTGGTTTACCCGATATGCTACTGCAGTCCAGCAGTGTCTCTCAATCACTCTACGCGCCTTTCTGGAAACTCTATGGACCTCGGCAAGCGACGACGACTCGCACGTCCCGTGCGCGGGATCCAGTATGTCGATGATGGTTTCTGGTATATCGTCGCAGCCCTTTACACGGTGGCGAGCACAATCATATGCCTATTTTGGAGCATCGTCGGATCTGAAGCTGGCTTCCAGAAACTACGTGCCAACAGCCGGTCTGAATCCTGCATTGGCATTCGGGTGGAAGCCGATAAAGAGCCCAAGTTCTGGATAGAGGACCGGAAGATTGCTGCTATCAAATCGCTACTACAAGGCATCGTAGCCGAGAGCTCTATATCTGAGAAGCGCCTGTCGAAGTTGACCGGTAAACTCTCGAACTTATCCCAACTACTCCCCTACATTCGACCTTACACGCAACCCTACTACGGGCTCCTCAGCGTCTTGCGTTCGAGAGCCTTACCGTTCGCGAGGTGCCCTCCAACGAGCGAAATCAGTATCATCTCCGCCTTTCTATTGAAGCTCATTGCGAAATACCTTCCTTCGCATCCAGTGGGCTCCGTTCGACGTAACATGCTTCGTAGACAGCCTATCATCTTGATAGCGGTCGATGCGTCGCTCGCGGCATTGGGAGGTTTCATTACACTGGCTGGCAGAGGCACGGCACGTCACCACCCTGCCGTCAAATGGTTCAGCTGCAGTCTGAAGACCGAGGATCTAGGTGTTTGGCGTTGCCTACTGAAAGACAAAAGTCTGCCTGAGGAGAGCAGGAATATGGTGGCTTTCGAGCTTCTAGCAGCTTGTCTTGGATTGCGACTAGCTGAGAAGGAGTATGCGGGTCTTCAGAAGCACAACGTCGTTCTGCTGACTGACAACGAAGCCACAAGAGGTATCCTATCCAAAATGTATGCGAAGACCGCAGCTCTGGCCAAGCTCTTACGATGCATGACGGAGACTCTGGCGAGTCTGTCCGACCATAACTTCTTCCCCACTCGAATTGCAAGCGAGCACAACATCGTGGCCGATAGAATATCGAGAGGCCAGCTGACGGAGGTACCAGCTGAGTGGGAGAGGGCCGAGATTGACCTCCGTGCGGAACTCCACCAAATGAGTTAACGCAACAGATGCTCGCTGATGAGAGTTGGACTTAGTCGCTAGACAACAAGCCTTAAGCAAGCCGCTGTAGTGTATTGATGAACTCTCGCGATGCCGTTTCAGTCTGTACTCATATTTCACTCGTTTTGTCGAACACAATCTTGTTGAGCTTCGATGAAGTACGCCGTCCGGGTCAATCTTGAACGTTTCCCTCGCAAGCCTCCGATGGACCAATCGGCCATGTGAAAACGACGAGGGTTCGGTCGAGTCCGCTCGTGATTAGTTGGAAGTATGACAATATCGATAAAGGTTTTGGCTTGTAATCCAACCGCCACTTATGACAGATAGACGACAGAGAGCGAAGCGCTTTCTACATGATGCAGCCGCATCGGGCCTCGACATCCGCACCGAAATCGACGGGATGGTTCAGGGAGCTTTATCGGCATCCTCGAGGAGAACGTACGGTTCTGCCGAGAAGCTATTTCGAGACATTATATGGGGAGAGAGTGAAGATGTATCGAGCGATATATATCCGATCACAGGCGAGATGCTCATTATTTCGCATACGTCATGATGAGG